GTTTTGCAATGTAACTAGAAACCTACGCAGTAACCTACACTATGCGGTAAAAGGGATTATTTATCCGCATCCATGTTTACATCAAACCATATAAACTTATGATCGTTAAGTATTTGATGAAGTAAGAATATATATTAATAAACTATGGTTAAACTTTAAAGTAATAGAAATCTATATCCAAACACATGTCATATATTTATTGGTTTGATATAATTATCGAGTGCGGATAAGTTTTCAAGAAAATAGAAATGGTGAAAACCAACGAAGGATTAGATGTTTGGAATATTTTGTACTAAAACTAAAGAAGCACAATACCTTGAATTGACGAGTTTCAGCAAGCTGTTGAATTCCATTCAAAGTTTGAATATTAAGCTCGTTTAGCTTTGACGATTGAGCTGATAAGCATGTTCCATTCATCATTGACCTCTAATTCTCTCTCTCTGTGTGTTTGTACTTTTTTGGTTCTTGATTTCGACTTCTTCTCTGTTTTGTCCAATTGATAGCTACACTGGTCAACGCCAACCACCTTACCTACTTAAAACATAGGGCACACCACCCCAAATAAATAAAATAACTTAGTTATAGATATACTCCTTATATATATTTCTAAACAAAACACTTGGTGGGCGTTTGGACATCAGAATTGTGAAAAACCGAAAAAGGTGAATTTCTTCTTAAGGGAAAATGGTATTTAAAAATTAAAGTTGTGTTTGGATAAAAATATAATTTAGAGTTATTTTTGATTTTTTGTAAGTGATTTGGGTGAATTTTGAAAAATAGCCTTTTGGAGTTTTTTCAAATTTTTAAAAAATTCCGAAATTCAACTTCAAGTGAAATTTGAAAATTTTATGGCCAAATACCGATTCCGAAAAAAAAAAATTAAAAAGGTTTCCAAAAAAGGAAAAAATTTTCTTATGGCCAAATAGGCCCTTAATACCCTAACTCTCGAATTAGTTATGAACTGGGGAATTTGCATCTATACCCGCTTTTTGTGCCATGTTTTAACTTGTATCCGCTTTGCCAAAAAAATTGCAAACGTGCCCGCTTTTTGCATAACTTCAGCATACGGGGCTGAAGTAACAAAGACAATCACGCAAAACTTCAGCATTCTAGTAGACGGGCCTGAAGTAGCAAGTGTGCTGAAGTTTTTGTTTGTAATTGCTGAACTTAAGCATAGTAGCTGAAGTTTTGTTCTCTATTTGCTGAAGTTTTTGTTTGTAATTGCTTTTTATTTTTGTAACTGACGAAAGTTTTTTGTTTTTGTAACTGACGAACTTCAGCTCTAGAGCCATACATTGTAGCAGTTCAAATACGAAAGGCAAAATAGCCATACAAGTTTCATAAATATCAAGGTCCTATGTAATTTCTTATACAGTGGGGTTCTGACTTGGATCTTTAAGAAAAATCTCAATAAGAGTATATCCAATATCAAAATAATCATCTCCCAAGTCTCAGTAAATTTTAATATCTGTTGTACCAGTTACGAGGTTTTATTTTCCTCCTGGGCTTGGCATCGAGGAATGTCAGAACAACGTGAGAAGAAGTTTTAGGTAACTTCAAAACCTCCTCTGATGCCTCTTCTGATTTATGAGCATAGCTCTCCAAACAATTGTCAGTTTTTTCAACACTCGTGCATTCTTCAGAAAGAACAAGAAGAAGAAGAAAACGAAGGAGGAGAAGGAGGAGGAGAAAGAGGGCTGGAGTTATTTAAAAAATGGGTACAAGTTAAAAGTTTAAAAAAAAATAGGTATAGGTTAAATGGGGATGACCAAATAGGACGCCCGTGCAATTTTTACTTAAACCTTATAGTATTGGTACTAGAAGTCCATGCAAATTCTAATTTCAGTAAGTAGCAAGTTCATAGGTAATTTTAAAGTTTTAAATTTTAGTTCTATATAAAATAATAATTAAATTTGATTATAATGTTATATGACATGGAATACACTCACATGTGTAAAATTATCGATTAGCATTTCGCATTAAAAATGTTGATAATATTTTATATTGGAGTTGCGTGCTCTTATAACAATTTAGATTTAATGTGTAGCGACAAGGGGTTTAACTTGTAGATAATCATGATATGTTCAATGGAAGTTTCAAGTTGTTAAATACGAATGATAAATACTTGCCTTGATCCAGTGTTTCCACCAAATGATAGCAACTAACAATGTTTGAATGATTTACTGAAATGAAAATATGTGTGCACCATGTCCTGCATCTATTTTGTTATAACAAGTTATTTATTATGTTAGCTGATTAGGTTTATTATAGAATCATTACATGTCACATTTAATTGATAGTGTAAAAAACTATATATTATCAGTGCATAAAAGTTAAACTCAATTCACTTGCGACTCTTCGTATGGACAAGATTGTGAATATGTATGGTAAAGCACAAAGCTAAGAACTATATTGCCAAATCAAATAAGTACTTAAAACATAGTGCAGCTAGTTGTGCTGTTGTAAAATTCAAGAACGACATGGCTTTAACTGTTTAAGAACACTAACAGGAACTTGATTATTATAATTTTCTAAGAATTACAATATTATATTCTATAATGTTCTTATTCTGTTGTAAAGAACACCACACATCCATTATGTTCTTTATTCTGCTGCACGATGTGAATTTTCTATTGTTTTTCATAAAATTATTTGAGAAACTTTATGATCCAGGAAGGCAGAGAATCAATAATGAAACCAACAATTATAGCAAGGTTTGTTAACTTTTTAGGTACATTATACAGTAGGCTATATGAATTCAGGGGCGGAGCCAAGATTTCAAGTTTATGGGTTCAAAATTCTAATCATTTTAAGTTACTCGGTTTTAAATTAATAATTTATATATATTCAATGAATTCTTTTAAGATAAATACAGTGTTCGAACCAAAGTTACTGGATTCGACTGAACTCGCTCCCGGCACTCTAGCTCCACCCCTGCATGAATTATTGAAGCTATTGGGAAGACACATCAGAATCAAGTAGCAGCAAAATCATTATCCAGTTCTGGAATAAATATATTCCATCCATTACTTATGATCAGCAAAACAAGGAGCTATAATGCTAAATTATAATAGTCGTGTTCTCAATCACCAGAGGCGAATTCAGAATTTGAAGTAGGTTTCTTAATATTTACAAGCTAGATCCGTCTCAAGTAAGATAGTATCGGTTATATGAATATCACTTCCTAATTAATTCCTAGCCGTTAAAGGTTAAGGGGGTTAAATCTATAATGATGAAATCTTAAACAGACCAAATTTATATAGCTATAGTTCAAATGCCTCTTTTGTTCCTCCCGTGGCATGCCTCTCCGACAGCAAGCGAAAACAAAAGTCGCAGCTTCGCAAACCAGCAATGGCCTGTAAATAAGTTCAGAGAAACAAACCAAAGTAAAGTAAGTTATCAAGTACTTACTTTACTTGATATTTGAAAAACCGACTTACTTGGTTTGGTTCTTTTTAGGGAAAAACCGATCCAAACCGAACTATGAATACCCCTACCGGTGGATTAGTTGGGATAACTATGTGCAAACACTATATGTTGGATTTTGGAAGAAGCCCAAACAAAATACTATGCTTTAACCTTGAATTGGGGAGCATGTTTCCTCCCCAACAACAATAACAATCCAGTATAATCTCATAAGTGGGGTCTGGGGAGGGTAGTGTGTACGCAGACATTACCCCTACTTTGGGAGTAGAGAGAATGTTTCCGATAGATCCTCGGCTCAAGAAGACAAAAAGAAACAATAGATTAGTAACAACAACAAGTAACGACAACAATGACCAGAAAGATAATACCATAATGAACTACCTTAAGCGGAAATCCCAAATTCTCAATAAAATGCTTGCATAAAATACAAAATTGAAGTTCGGATTAGGATTTCGTGATAACTTGTGGAATAAAAGAGTCTGGAAATTGTAATCATATATTATTTTTAACATGAAATAGATTCTTACATTTAACAAAAGAAAACTACCAATTAAACTAGAATGTAAAGGTAAAGAACTGTACTAAAAGTGCAAACAATTAATATTTACTGTAAAATTTTTAAAACATTATATAAAAGTATACATATATATAGGTGTAATAATAAATTTAATATAGCTACTTCTATAATCGGTTTGGTTCGATATCTTTTTAATTAAAACCAAAATCAAACTAAATTTGATCGGTTTTTAAATTTCAAAACCTAAACCAAACCAAACCAAAAAGTATCGGGCTTTTTGGTCGGTTTGATTTGATTTTCGATTTGGTTCGGATTTTTGAATTTTTATGAACACCCCTATCCACAGGTCAATTATCTCAAAATACCAAAACTCACAAATGAGCAACTAAAAGACTAGTTGCCATGGAAACACAAAAATCAAATATAAGATTCATTTTAAGAAAAATATATATTTTACCTAACACGCAAAAAAAAGAAGCAAATTGTAAATTCATTAGGTGTTTATTTACCTCTTCTTTAGACCGGCAACAATAGATTTTTTTTTATCAAAACGATTGATGCAACTATTACCAGCATGGATTTGAAAAGTTTCGACAGGAGTACTAGCAAGAGTGAGATTTAAGACTTTCACCGTCATCCAGTACATATTAAAGGTTCCCGACAACGAATAATTCACTTTCTCAATCTACAAAACCTTGTACTTGAAAGCCTGCGAGGAGAGGCACAATTAGTTGAAAACAAAGGAAGGATAGTCTGGAGACTAATCACAGAAAGAAATTTAAGGTTGCACTCTTTCTCATTATATTCCTCGATAGCACAGTTAGCCAGTTCCATTAGTAACTTAGCCTTGTCATTGAAATCCTGAGATGGTAATGGTCCAGGTAGTGATCCTCCATAAGTAGGCGCACCAAAAAAAACCAAAGAGAGATAGACATCAATGTCAAAATACTGCATCAAACAAGCCAACACTAGAGTGAGTGATGAAAACTAATCCAAATCATAGGACGAATATATAATAAGTAAATTCAAGCACAAGAACCATAAATTCAATACAGGTTTAATGCCAGAAGATAATTCCCAGATAGACTCACAACTTGTTTGGATGGTTGTTATGTATCGTTTCATAATGTCTCATACTTGTATTGTATTATTTTAATGTATACAATATTTAGATAGATTGTATTGTTTGCTGTCGTTTCATGATGTCAAACACCAACAACATTAAGAATAAACTTACAATATCATAAAGAAAAAGTAAGGTACAAGATAATATAAAAAGTTAGGGTAAAGAATAAAATAGTACTTATGAGAGAGAAAATAAGGTAACGACGAGACCACACCAAATCGAGTTTTCTATAAAGTGCCACTTTTGGTTGTTACGTAACGATGGATTTAATAGCCGAGGGTCTATTGGAATTAGTCTCTCTGCCCTTCCAGGGTAGAGGTAAGGCTGTATACATCCTACCCTCCCCATACCCCACTTGTGGAATTGTACTGAGTGATTGTTGTTGTTGTTGTTGTAACGATGGATTTAATGATACGATACAATAAAATTTAAGCAACAATCAAAATAAACATTGTATTTAAAGTAACAATACGATACAATAC